AATTTCATACTGATTGTGCTTGTTAACTAATTATAAAATTACAGTATAATTGTATGTTGTAGTAGTCTACAGTCTACTAATAATAATAATAACCATCAATCATTTATATTTATGTTATGTATGACATGTGTATGTTTCATAGCAGTATTTTTATGCGCTAAATTTGATAAAGTACAAATGTCACCCCACCCCCTTTCTCCCCCTGCTCCTCTGATGCAGCAATACCCTCTCAGAATCAAAGAGTTATCACTGATATTTCTTTACTTTTGCTGGAACAACTTTCAGTTTACATCTAAACGTTATTGATGTTTATGTTCATGTTGACTGTAGCAAAAGCATTTTTGTTTGTCTGTAAAACCCTTTATTGTTATATTTAATTGGCACATTTATTTACCTAAAAAATGACCTATAGTTCTATAAAATATGTCGAAAATTAATGAAACTGTAGTTTAATTTGTGTATACATCTCTTCGATAAAAACTGTTAACACAGAAGGACTCAATTCTTGCACAAGAACGGGAATCCCCGTTCACCTAGTTGGCCTATTTATAGCTAAAGATGGCCGTGGTGGTGAGTATCGGCAATGTTTAAGCCACATTGTGGTGAGTATCGACAATGTTTAAGCCACATTGTGGTGAGTATAGGCAATGTTTTAGTCACATTGTGGTGAGTATCGGCAATGTTTAAGCCATATTGTGGAGAGTATCGACAATGTTTAAGCCACATTGTAGTGAGTATCGGCAATGTTTAAGCCACTTTGTGGTGTGTATTTGGTGAGTATGTGTGAGTATGTAGTGAGTATGTGGTGAGTATCGGCAATATTTAAGCCACATTGTGGTGAGTATAGGCAATGTTTAAGTCACATTGTGGTGAGTATCTGCAATGTTTAAGCCACCTTGTTGTGAGTATCGGCAATGTTTAAGCCACATTGTTGTGAGTATCGACAATGTTTAAGCCGCATTGTTGTGAGTATCGTCAATGTTTAAGCCGAATTGTTGTGAGTATCGGCAATGTTTAAGCCACATTGTTGTGTGTATCGGCAATGTTTAAGCCACATTGTTGTGAGTATCGGCAATGTTTAAGTCACATTGTTGTGAGTATCTGCAATGTTTAAGCCACATTGTGGTGAGTATCGGCACTGTTTAAGCCATATTTTTGTGAGGATCGGCAATGTTTAAGCCACATTGTTGTGAGTATCGGCAATGTTTAGCCACATTGTTGTGAGTATCGACAATGTTTAAGCCACATTGTGGTGAGTATCGGCAATGTTTAAGCCACATTGTTGTGAGTATCGGCAATGTTTAAGCCACTTTGTGCTGTGTATGTGGTGAGTATGTGGTGAGTATTGGCAATGTTTAAGCCACACTGTGGTGTGTATGTGGCGAGTATCGACAATGTTTAAGCCACATTGTGGTGAGTATCGGCAATGTTTAAGCCACACTGTGGTGTGTATGTGGCGAGTATCGACAATGTTTAAGCCACATAGTGGTGAGTATCGGCAATGTTTAAGCCAGCCTGTGGTGAGTATGGGCAAAAGTGTAAGCCATTTTGTGGTGAGTACAAACCTCACCGACTGTTTACGTCTAACTGATCTAATAAGTTTACAACTTTCATTGGTCCACGTGAGAACTGCTTCGTTTGTTTTTAAATCATCATCATCCTGTAAAACTGCGTGTTGCTTTTGAGCTGCCTCCACCTGTGGCGGTCAGTTGCGATGGACTTCATGGTTGCATGCCTGAGGCCTGTCCAGTTAGTCAAGTTCTGTAACCAGATCTTTCTAGGTCTGTCTTTTCTCCTCTTCCCCTCTACTAATCTATGTAGTATTGTTTTTGAAAGGCCGTTAGATCTTATAACATGTCCATACCATTGCGTTTCCCGCCTTCTCATTGTAGTTAAAAAAAATTCATAGTTGCCAACGTGCTAGGTAATTATAAGGTGAATCTCGTCACTTTTGATCAGGACTGTGTGAAATGGTAAGAATGTTTCTGAAAGATCGCATTTCCAATGCTTGTACCTTTTTATCGAGTGCAGTTGTTGAGGTTCACGTTTCACTGCCACATGCAAGTATTCTAATAGCTAGTGTTCTGAGCAGTCGTTGGTGAGTTTATTGTTTCTGGATCTTCGTAACATTTCCTGTTTGGCAACGACTGATTTTGTCTGGTTAATCCTAGACAATGTCAGCTCTGTGGCTAATTCGATGTGAAAGCTTCGTAATGCCGCAATGACCATGTATCTTAGTGCACTTGTTTTCATGGCGAGGCGCAGACGCCGTCTGGAGGTGACAGGTTCAATTCCCGGCACAGTAACTATAGCTTTCGATTTTTATGTTGTCTATTCTGTTCTTTTATCCTTCTACTTTTTTCTATGAGTGCCGATCAATACACTTTTTGTTACTCCATTGATTCGTAATGCCGGAATGCCGAGTTCGATCCCAGCTGCGGGCTATGGGCCTTGCTTTGGTTTCGACAGTGGCATCAAGAAAGCCAACCGTCCAGAAAGCAATGGCAAAATACTGGACGTAAATTTGCCTAGAAAAAGCACACAGCAGAACAACAGCCAGGGGCTGTTAGGGTTGGTTCTGCAACGTCCTGTAAAGGATACGCAACTTACCTAATCCTAGACATGATTTCTGGTTTCGTCCCGATATCACTTAAAACGGATCCTAAATATTTGAAATGATTGACTTGTTCTAGTGTGTTACATTTATTATACCTTGTTCTAGTTACGCAAGCTGGATTAATTTTAGTTTTTCTATCATTTCATGATTTGCTTCGCATTCTTTAAAAAGAATCATAATTAATTTGAGGACATTTAGCACAATTAATAATAAAACACGATTTATTTTGTGGCATAAATTTATAAACGGTACTTTATAACACCAGTACATAATTATGAATGTTTATAACAAAAACGCATTCTGACTGATTTCTAGTACATGAAACAATAATTTATAATACATATGAGACAATCATGTATAATACATATGAGACAAATATTGAAGTAGGATTTCATTCGGTAAAATGATTTGATGCTGGGTGATCGTATGCAATCGTATGGAAGGATATCATCAATGGATTTTTTCTTCATCGTTCCTGTGAGTGCCCTAGTTGTGCGGTTTCTATTTACAGCATACATGCGATATAGCACTGTTAGAATGTTGCTCTAGAAGGGATACAGGCACATAAATTACTACAAGCATACTTTGTGGGTGACTGTAAAAATAATACAAAATAGAAAAAGCTTGACTTCTTCTTTTTCTTCTTCTTCTTGCTCTTCTTCGCGTTCACCAGCTGTAAACTCTGACAGAAAGTTCTGGGTATTCGTCCACCTCCGGCCTTTAGTCTTGTTCCAGAATCTAAGTGTTGCGTGCACATCTGCTTCACAGATTCTGGCTTTTTTGAATGCAGAGTGTTGGTTCCTTGTCTTTCAGGCAGATCTACTTCGAATGATGCCACCAATAAGTAGACTACTACGACATGCTTTTTCTAGAGGTTGTGTGTTGATATTTTTTCCCTCACAATGGGGCTGGGAGCCGGCACGGGAAGCTGGTGTTATCTAACAAGGCACATACTGATTGTGATGATATTAAAACTGAACCTAGAATTTATTACAGAGGTGCTGAACCACACATGGTGGCGCACAAGGCCTGGCGGGTAGTGGTCCAGACCTGCCTACATCTCTATGTGGTAATCCCAGAAACAGGGTCCCAGCCGGGTGCCTGGCGGGTAGTGGTCCAGACCTGCCTATATCTCTATGTGGTCATCCCAGAAACAGGCTCCTAGCCGGGTGCCTGGCTAACAAAGATAGGGTCGACGTTTTCTTTAAATTCCGAGTACATCTGCGTGAGAGTCGAGCAACTAAAAAGTCTGCACACGCAGTACTCTTCTGGAATGCGGCAAGAACCCAGAAGTGGACGAACAACCAGGACCCCCCCCCCCCCGCCCCCGAGTATACAGCCGGTGAATGCTAAGGAGAAGAGAAAAAAGACCCAGTTAAAAGCACCACGTTTCTAATGTTTCATTGTGCTTATATCTAGCCTGGTTTCCTAGCGTGAATCTTCCAGTGTGAGGGAGTTGATGGGTAGGTCCACGTGTATGTGGATCGACCCCTAAACAATATAATGTGGGTTCCTTTTCTTTTTCTTCTTAGAATTCACTTGAATATTGTTCCAGAACGTGAGCTTTGCATGCACACCCGTTTTACAGATCTGACATATTTGAGCCCAGAATGCTGGTTCCTCACCTCTCCGGTAGATGTGCCCCCGCTTCAAAGAAAACATCCCTTATTAGTAGCCTTCAGCAACATGGGATAACATGAGTTGATATAGTTTAATGCTTTGCTCATCACCATCGTGTGCTGATAAGTGAAGGCTGTCATATTTTGCTATCTCACACAAATGCAAGAATGACATATTCTTACAGCTTCGTTCTTTACCACAATACTTCCTGCTAGTGGGCAATATTCTTAATGCTCTGGCAATTGTCTAGGAAGAAAACGTGGCAAGAAAGGGATCTGGCCACCTCACTTCATTTCACTGTCTGTTTTATCCCCTTCGGGCTGCTATCAGAAGGATTGATCGCTCTTGCGACTAAGAGAAGGCTTGATAGCAGACCAATAGGACAGGTGCCCGTTCAACCTTCTAGGATATTACATCAGGACACTCGTGATGGCTACACCCTGCTAGTGTTCACCCCCTCACAAGGGCGTCTGGCATGTTGTGATGTTGTTCACATTCAGGCCAAAAACATCTGATTTCAGTGAATCCTTAATTAGTCGTCTTTGAACCACACGCTTGTTGCGGAGCTGTAGCTATATTCCCCAAACTCCACCCACAAATGGGGTCCCAGAACCCAGACGGGGAATGACTGCACCAAACTGTACATCATGTCACCTCTACAGGTAACGGTCAACCTGATTATGCTGCAGCTTTGAAAATGTAAAGGCCCGAACCTTAACAAAAGAAAGGATTGTTCCTGCCATAGAAGCTATCTGACATGTTGTCACACATACATGTCTTTAACACGAGCATCGGCCAAACTGTAGAACCTCTCAGCGTCGTCCGAGGCCACACTGTAACTCCCAGATGTGGTCGTGTTAAGGTCACTATTGTCATCCCCAAAGGAAGATTGGGACAGAAACGAAATCTGTTTCTGACCATGACCTTGCAAGGGGATGCTACTCTTAGGGCCAAACTCAAACTGTGTGTGTGGAGTTGTCTGTGGGGGTCTTTGAGGAATGTTTTGGAGAGATTGGTGATAATGATTTTGGTGCCCTTGAGATGGAGCTGATGCTGTTGGGTGTTTGCTCTGCTGGCCTCTGCTAGTGCTGAACGTGCTGTTTTGAGGCTGTTTAAAATACGTTCTTTCAGGCAGCCAGGCCGGCTGTTTGTCAGTCACATGGGAATGAAATCTCACAATGGAGTTAGATTTCATTGCTGTCTGTTGTACTAGG